ACCCAGTAAGGATCTACATTCAGTCTCACCCGGGCTGGTACTGGGCATCCTAGTAAGTTCACACTTCTCTGTTATTACGGCCATGATGGTGCTGTATAATGGTTGATGAGCGTGACTGATGCGGCTCCCCATGCTTTTTGTTCCGTCAGCGTTGTGTTTTTCGGCACCTACCTGACTCTTTCGTGCTGCACTGCACCAAGGTGGGTGTCAGCTACTGCTGTGATTGCGAAACACTGACATTATTGATATGGCTGTTGTAGACAAGGATACCATCTGCCGCACTAACCCTCACCACCTCCTCCTCTGTTGCAGGAGGCAGTTTCCATGGAATCTGATCCTGCTGGCCATTTTTGTGAGTATCAGGATTGTGGCGTTTCCATGGGTGGGACTTGTGAGTGGAGTCCAGAGAAGCACACTATGTTAGAAGTGCTCCTGTGGTTTTTCCAATGTCTCCGGTCATCTGCAGAGACGTGTGCAGGGGTGTAGTGGAATACTGGGCCAGAAGAAAACACTGTTGCATAACTTGATCAGGTGCCATTAATGATAGAATTCAGTACTGGAAAAAAACTGAGTCTTATTTAAGAACCCCCCTGGTAGCGCTTCACTTACCTATATAATGCTAATAAATTCAAAGGAAATAGATTTCAGGACCTGTTCATAAAGATGCTGCTCCTTCATCCTGGTGTTGATGCTGTTCCTCATGGTCATGGCTCTCAGTAATCACACTAGGGTGGTATGGGAGCAAATGGAAAACAGGAAGTGATTGGGGTGGCACTTGTGTATTACAGGAAGTGATTTGGGTGGTGTTTCCTGTATTTGAGGAAGTGATTCTGTAGTGCTGTTTCTGTAGTGCTATTTCTGTATTGGAGGAAGTGATTGTGTAGTGGTCCTTCTAGATTTTAGCTGGAATATAATGATCCCTGAACTCTGTACACAGACACACTAGTTCTAACTGTCTGCACCAGTCCCTGATGTCTCTGGGTCTAAATTCCCTGACTCAGACAGACTGCCAGATAGCTTTGGGTTTCGCTTTGAATGGTAACTCTAAGAAAGGGACTTCTGCAGGGCTTGTTTGGCATCATGGCTGTTGTGTTCGTAAAACCCAAGGCATGTGGGAAAGCGAGCGCTGCACCTCACAGTCAGAGTGGGTGCATGCCCCTGGGATTAACCACAGCCTCTTCTCTTGCAGACTCTGTCCCTCTCCTACATGACAGGAATGTTGTCCAGGTAGAGTCCCCCATCCCCCCCCACTGTCCCATGCGTCTGTTGCTCTCTGTGCGCTTCTGGGTCTCACTGTCGCCTGTGTCTGTCTGCTCTGTTTGCATGCCCCGCTCAGACCATCAGCATGGCCAGCATGATGGCTTTTGTGTCCAGGTAAATTACTTTCTCACATGCACGCTAGCGCTAGCCAACTCCCCTTCCCCCATCTGTGACATCACCTGTGCAGAGCTGTTGCTAGGCGCTAGTGCAGAGAAGGGCCCTTGCTGGTTCCACAGAGGCCTTGTAGAGAACATAGCAATCACTCCCACGTGGTGCTGAAGACAGTTACATAATGTGGTGGTGGGTGGGGTGTGTAAGTATTTTGAAGTTAAGCAAACACAGACAGGCTAAAAGAAACAGCTGCTTGCCAGGGCCTTCTGGCACCAGCCCTCAAAGGCTGCAGCTTCTTCATGCTTTTGCTCCAGCCTGGGGGCTCTCTCTCGCCCTGAGGGCCTCCGTCACTCAGACTGACACACTCACAAGAGCTTGTCAGTGCCTCAGTCGCAGCCAGACCATGGCCCTCTGGGACTTTCAGCTTAGCCAGCCCTACCCACGTAGTGGTAGTGTGACACGTAACAGTGGCATTTGGACGCGGTGCCTGCTCACTGCCTCACACGCACCTCTGCTTCTTGTCTCCCCTCAGCTTTTACAACACCAAGTCTGTGGTGCTATGCCTGGGCATCACTGCCATGGTCTGCCTGTCGGTCACTGTCTTCAGCTTCCAGACCAAGGTGAGGAGGACCGCCCCGCCCCAGCTTCCATCTGCAGGCTCTGAGCCGTGTCTAAACTGCTGCTCAACTCCTGACACCTTTTACAACCTCTGTGCTTGAGGAAGCCCCCTCTGTGGCTTTCTTTTTCAAACTTGAATTGCACAACTTGAATAATTCAAATACATTTGTAGTTACAGTGTGAAGTTCATATTCTTCAGAGCAGAGATGTCAGTTTGTAATTATGGAAATTATCCCAGCAGTCCACATTGTCTTTTGGAAGGGGCTTGGAAGATACCTTTCATCAACATTACAAAAACTGAGGACAGGATGTGGGATGTGGGATGTGGGATTCTGTGAGGAAGACCTATCATTTTTTTTTTTTTTTGGGGTGTCCATTCCTTTAATCTAACCAGGGAAGAGTCCCACTGAGGTTAAAGTCGTGTTTCTAAGTTAGACCGGGTGCAGTAAGTACAGCCAGGTGTACAGGTTACGACAAAAAGCTGATTACACTGAGCATATGGATCACACCCTGGCCGCTGGAATTAAACACACAAAAAGCAAATTGCAATGTAGACAGCAGATGTGTGTCATAGGTGTGAAAACAGAAAACAATCGATGTGGATTTGGGCCATGGGGGGTTGGGGGGTTCAGTGTGGGCAGCATAAGGCATAGTGGTAAAGAGCAGGGCTTGTAAACAAAAGGTTGCTGGCTCAATTCTCCACTGGGAACCTACTGTTGTACTCTTGGGCAAGGCACTTTACCTTGCTGCTAAATGACAATAATGTAATGAAATGGTTCAGTCTATCCATAAAAGGATTTCTCAGGTGGTAGGATTTATTTCCCATGCCAGTTGTGAGATCAAAAAGGGAGGGAAGAGGAACACGGGTTTTCTTATAGACAGATATCAGAGTGTCTTACAGACAGATATCAGTGCTGCTGCTTGCTCTGTAGTAAACTCATGAGCTGGAGCCTCTGGCCCTGCAGGGCCCACTGGGACTCATGGGATTGTTGAGCATGGGAAAGGTATGAGAGGGACTGTGTGGCGGGCGGTCACGTCTAAGAGTGACTCTGTCTCCACCCAGGTTGATGTCACCTCCTGCCACGGTGTGCTCTTCATCTTGTGCATGGTCATGTTCTTCTGCGGGATTGTCCTGGCCATTGTCGTCCCCTTTGGATATGTGAGTAACCTTCTTAACCCCCCGGTAAAACAAGTGGGCTAAGCCCTTGGATTGTGATCAGGAATGGACAGAGCTTGAGGTTGGCGGTAAACTGACGGTAAGATTTGAGTTTGGGTATTTCTAGGTCCTTCTGTGTGCTTATGGTGTTTAAAATAAGACGGCCCTAATCCCTCGTCTGATCCTGCAAGTCAATCACTGTTCCAGCATTAGGCCCATGGCAGCCTGACTGTGTTAAATCTGTCTCCTGCTACAGGTGCCCTGGCTACACGCCATCTACGCGGCCCTGGGAGCTATACTGTTTACCATGGTGAGTCAGACTTCTGAGTCACAAGACTCATTTTGTAACAATCCAGTCTGGAGTTTTCTGAACAGATCCTTCCTTCTTCACACCCCCATTCCCACAGTTCCTAGCGTTCGACACCCAGCTCCTGATGGGGAACAGGCAATATGCCATGAGCCCTGAGGAGTACATTTTTGCGACGCTCAGCATCTACCTGGACATCGTGTACATCTTCTCCTTCTTTCTCCAGCTCTTCGGCTCAGGCCGGGAGTGACTGTCAGGCAGGCCCCTCAAACTCCACTTTACCGCAGTCTGTGATGCAATGTAGCCTGGCCCTGGCTATACCCCCCACTCCACCACCACCCCCCCTAACTGTGTTACCCTGCATGATGGGGGGTGCGTTACAGACTCCATTCATGTTCTGTGTAAAATGACCCACCCATCTGAAATCACAGTTTAACCCACAACTGGTGGACTCTTCTGGCCTCCACACTGCCCCCTACCCCTAGCACATATTTAGGTCATTACATGTAGGGCTGCCTATTTTCAATGTTTGTGTCTGGAATACCCATCACAGTTTCTGCAAACTGTCAGAGCATTTTGATACAATCAAAGTTTGAAATGGGTGTCCTTCCATGGAAGAGTGTCATCAGTGAAGGCCAGATCTCAGTAACCCAAATGGCAGTACCCAAATGGCAGACCTGTCCATTGAACATATGCAGCCATAAACACCAGCATGCAGTGGAGAGAGACAGAAAAGAAACCTGCTCACTATAAGAGAGCTGTAAAATATCCAATATTGTACTTCAAAGTGAACTGGACTTTAGTCCCCTGCTGTGCTTATTGTGTGTTAGTTATCACTACAGCTGAGAAAACCACATACCATTGGGCCATTTTGGGATTGTAGTTGCCATTGATGTGGGTAATGGGTAGAGGTTGACATGTTGTTCTGCATCGTTCTGTAACATTCTGTAATGTTCACATCTTGTTTGTTCCCTACATTCTGTCCTGTTTCGGTTTGTGAATTTTACAGATTCTGTAAACTTGGAAGTATTGCCTAGTTATCTGTGGTTGCTCACGATTTCATAAAAATGACACAAGCTCACCCTGATTGGCTCATCATGAGGTTTAATATGTCATACAGTGTCAGAGCCAAAAATTGTTTGCCATTTGTTTTAGCTGAGATTTTTGTTTTGAAAGATTCCACTGTTGACGAAAGGACAAATTATGTGGTTACCACAACACTTGTCAGGATTTTTTTTCATTAAACCTATTTGAATTTCAAGTTCACAAGCCTCAAACTGAGGAACTCGTGAACCAGTCAAAATACTTGTTCTCCACAGAAGAACACCATTATTGGTCCAAATAAGTGAGTCATTTATAATAAGATGGTTCACTAAGAAGGGTGGCCTTTAAGTGCTAACGCTAACGCTAGACCCCACAGACTGGTAAGGCTACATTATTGTCATTTAGTAGGTGCTCTTACCTACAGTGATTTACAACCTTATCAATTTATACAGCTGGAGATTTACTGAAGCAATTGTGGGTTAAGTACCTTGCCCAAGGGTCCAACAGCAATGCCCCAGCAGGTACTCAAACCAGGAACCTTTCGGTTATGAGCCCTGCGCCTTACCACTATGCCACACTGCTGCACTATGCTACATGGATAAAATACATACCTGAAGAGATATGTGGAATTTATCCAAAAAACAAGAATCCTGGCAAGTGTAGTCATAACATTGGGAAACAGTGAGGGGACAGGGCCTGTGGAGCATAGTAGTTTTGTACTGGTCACTACAGTAATAGTACTTGTAACTTTGCCACAGTGTTAAAACAGTCTCCTGTGCATGGTTGTTGAGTACTGTGTGTGTGTGTGTGCATGCAGACTCTTTCTGTCTCATCAGCAGTTCACAGAAGTAAATGGCTTTTGGCTGGACCATGTTTCAAACCCCTGCAACTCAAGAAACGTTCCATTTACATAGGATGGAAAAGGGGTGAATAATCTACCTATTAATATTACTTTTAACAGCACTTTTTACATGGGTGTACGAAAGGGGTTTTAGTTTTTGCTTCAGTTTGTGGCATTGACATAGGTTTTGGAGAACATGCCTGTGTATGTTCGATGGCAAACCAGGAGCTGAAATATGAATTTAGTTGTATTAGTGAAAATATAATTTAGAATAATGTTGTGAACTAATTTTTCACTCAGCCCGTGTACTGGCATTACCCAACATTCATGGCAATGCTGTGCTTGAGTGGTATTGAATATGTTTTACAAAATATGTGTTTTGAACCTTATGGCTCCAGTTAATTACTATACAGGTCTGGCAACTCAAAGTTCAGAGGAAAGTTAGCATTTAGCATCTCGTAATTCTGTTATATGTGGCCTTTTCTAACTACAATGTTATAACTGTAATGAATGCAATGAAGCATGAAGTTCTTGAGAAACACTTTTTAGCAACTTTTTTTGCTTGTTTTTGTGTGTTCGTTTGTTTTGTGTGGATTTTTTTTATTGAGTCACTTGGAATCCTTTTCTGATCACTATCATATTAACAAAGCGTAAAAGCACAGGAGGAGAAGCACTGCTATTTTTGGGAGATATCAAAAAGATTCTGCTGGTTCCAGATCACATTCCATTTCATTGTGTGCATAAAAAGCTATATACACATATATGTAAAATATATATTTTACTGTGTACTTATTTATTTTTGGGGAGAAATGAATGAAGATTGTATTTTCTCTACATTGAAAATAAATGATTCAGAACTGAGAGCATTTACTGAGAGTGTGTTATTTGCTACAGGTGTTGTGTTAATGGGTCTGTTACAAATACAGGTACTGAAATAAATGCACACAAACACAGATGCTGAAGACTGACCCCAGGCCTGTCAATCTTGTTATGGCATAAATAGGCTTGACTGACCATAGGGAGTTTGGTTAATAGGTTGGGCAGAGTGACGAAAGAGACCTTATGTTAAAAACCTAGACTGTGTCCTTCAATGTAAAGAAGAAATCACTCTCAGAATACAAATAATGAGAAATAAAGGCCAAGTTTCAAAAATCCTAAGTAATTTGTTCAATTTTGCTTTATCCCTTTATATAGCAGTATGTTTACTGAGGCAATTCACTTTAAACACTTTGCCAAAGGGTGCAACAGAGGCGCCCCATGTGGGAATTGAACTGGCATTCAGATTACGAGCCCCGCTCCCTACCACTCCAGAACACTGTTGCCCCATGATGTGGCTGACTGTAGCCAAATTCTATGTTCACTCTGCTGGAAATGGTAGTCAGAGGTTGTGAGCAGCACTCAGCATAAATGCTGCAGTAGTGGCAGTGTCCTACAAGCTGCTAGGCGAGTAAAGTTCAACGAGACACAGACACACCCAAGAAAAACAAGAACTTCTTTAATTAAAAAAGAATATTGACAAAGTCAAATTCAAAGAGTAAAACCAAAGAAGAAAAACAAAACAATTCAAAAGCTGTAATTTTTCCATGAATTAAAAACAAGAGTAACAAAGAAACCAGCAACTATGGCACAGGAAGACAAAAACTGCTAGCTAGCTAGCCAAATACCAAAACTTTTTTCTTTCCATATACAAAATGAGTTCTTGTATGATTAAGGAAAGTGTTTAAAAGCCAATGTATTGTGAGTGATGAGCCAGTTGCATATGCATTGTCCCAATAGATTGCTTCAACCTGGAATATTATGAGTTTGGCAATGGGCCAGTGAGGAACATCACAAATGACCTCTGGTAAAAGGGTCACAGTTCTGATCATCTAACCAAAACTGGAACACAAGCTCTCTGATTGTGCCACAACAGTGTATAACGTGACTTTTAATATTTTCTTTTAGTGCATTAACCTTTACCATGATTCCTACACATTTTCAGTTTTTCAAAATGAAAAATTTGATGTCATGCAGGGCTGGTGTCCAAAGGGTTAGGTGTGTGTAATGTATGGGAACAAAAGGTATTGACCCTTAATTTACAACAGCTGTGAACATCAGCATCTGTGTCTGTGTACTAAGCTATTTGTACACAGCCAAAACCCTGTGGTTCTAAAAAAAAAATTATAGAACAAAAAATATGCTGCCAGAGATGCTGCCTAAGCCTGCTGGAGAAGGTGATTCCATTGGACTGCTTAATTCTGTACTGCTGTGCTATCTGACAAGGAATCAAAGTTACATTGCAAACTCTGATGGACCTTACTTTACTCCCTAAACTGAACCAAATACAGACATTTATGCAAATAGGTTAATTCACTGAACATTTCTGTTCTGAATTTTTAGTTTTAAATGAGTGGGCTATGTCTTGTTAGATAAGGTGAATATTGAAATACTGAAGCCACTGACAGATAACTTAATTTAATTTAACTCAATTTAATTTAATTTGAGGCTACTTCATGATTAACTGCCATCTTGTCCTTTTACTGTTGTTTCATTATTTGATTAAAAAACATTTAAACAGAATACTTTTAATCTTACATTCAGGGTTGTAATATTTGATGATAAATAATGTAATTTTGTTGGAACTCAAAGACAGTAACCTTACTTCTTTGAAAAACAACATATTATAGTACTATCACTATTATTAAATAAAGTGAAATTTAAAATAAATTGTGATCTCACTGATGAATAACACCTGAGTCTAGACACAAGGTAAGATGGAGCTTTGCAAACTAAAGGTGCAAACTAAAGGTGTCACTCAAACTATTTCTGGTGCGACACCTCAAAGTAGAAATTGAATGGTTTGTACTCTGGTGAGGGAAAGGCTTGCATGAGGTGAAGGCTGTGCTGTGGCTTTCTGAAAACTCAGAAACACAGATGCCTCGCGGTACATTTGGCAAACTGGTAATCCTCCAGGTTCTCTTTAAAGGGATGGTCACTTTACTTTTCAGCGTGGCCCGTTCCTCACAAACCGCTTTCACGTTCCTTATTAGCAGCAAAACCTTTTGAAACTATGAAATAAACTGTTAACACTACACAAGCTAGGCAGTGACAGACAGCACAAACAAGCACTTCCACACACCAGCCAGGCCGTTTGTGACATGGGTGTTTAACAAAAAGACAAGGACAGCTTGAGAGAAGAACTTTAAAACATGACCTCAAGAGAGAGACTTCTCACTAGGCCAACTTCTGCGTGAGCTCGGATTGGCCATCTCATGTCACAGCCTTCTTCCTAAATTCTGCCTTATTGGCTGAGACTCTGCCAACTGCTTCATCACAAACTCTTCTGTGGGTTGAGAGGATGAGGTAAAAGTTAACTACTACCAACTAATAAATATGCTTTTGCCAGGTTTTTGATAGTTGCTTTCAAATTCTAACAGCTGTCTATTAAGTCTGGAGACCAAACTGGACTGGACTACAAAAAGATTTACGAAATGCAAACCTCCTTTCAATTCCAAAGGAATTGTTTTAATTGGAACTTTGTCTTAAACTGGAATCAGCACTGACAGAGATTTGATTTCAAGAGGAATACCGCAATGTAACATCCGGTCATTTCATAGTTTCAAAGTCATGTTTGTGTATTCATTCTCAGACATACTGGCTGACACACATGATTCATCAGTTTCACTTTTCAAAGTCAGGAGTAAAACCTGAACCTGATCCTTCATGAGTTGCGCTCCACATGAAAACAATGTCAACCTGCATGTGTAAATCTGAACATGTCACAAAACAACAAGTCACAACAACAAAACCTACAAAACCTACAGAAGAAAGGCTTAAAAAAAAGTATGGTCCTCACATGGTTCAGCAAAAAAGGAAAGCTAGCATGAGTCCTGATATGCACACAAAAGGCCAAGAGGAAAGGCTGAAATCTCATGACCGACACTTTTTCCCAGGCCACTTTTCCCTTGCTCATTGTGACGCTGGAGTCTGGCTTCCATGGGGCTACAAAGTCGGCGTCAGTACCCATCCACTGCATCACTCGAGTCTGTCAGCGTGCAGGTCACCCGTCCTTCCATCACATCTGTCCCATGTAGCCACTCATTGCCTTGGTTTGAAAAAAAAAAGCCAGTAGGGACACTGCACCCACGGACTTTCATCTGGAAGACATTGCTTTAACCAACCAGGAAATGCTCCTTTTGAAAAGACTAATGAGCTTTGCTACAAAAGTTGAGAATTCAGCATTTTTTTCCTATCCCCTACAATGGTAATTTGACAGACAGCTTGCTGATTGGTGGATGGATGGCTTCTGAATCTTTGGTAAGATACATAAATAAAAAATGGTTCAGAGACAGAGATAGAGAGAGAGAGAGAAAGAGAGAGAAAGAGAAAGAGACAGAGACAGAGACAGAGCAAGAGAATGAGTGCAAGAGAGAGAAGACTATCTCTGTCCATGGTGATTTGGGTTTTGTCATTTAGTTGTTTCAAACGTCAACATTCAATATTGTCAAAAATTATTAAGGGCATCTGGAAAGTAACATGTATCTGTTATTTTTTTCTGTTATGTTAACTATACTTAAATATACATACAATATGTAATCTTAATTTCTCTAGAAAATTTAAGTCAGGGATGGCATGTAATTGGATGTACTAAACACATCAGTAATTAATCTTCCTAAATTAATTACTGAACCCTTGGTACATCCAACCACACGTCTCCTAGTTTCACTTTAGGCACCCTTCAGCTATTTTGGCCTTAACATTA